TGTAGATCATGTATGGGACACACTACCTATGCCTGTATAATGTAGAACATGTATGGGACACACTTACTAGACCTGTATACTGTAGAACATGTATGGGACACTCTACCTAGGCCTGTATACTGTAGAACATGTATGGGACACTCTACTTAGACCTGTATACTGTAGAGCATGTATGGGACACACTACCTGGGCCTGTATAATGTAGAACATGTATGGGACACTCTACCTAGGCTTGTATACTGTAGAACATGTATGGGACACTCTACCTAGGCCTGTATAATGTAGAACATTATGGGACACACTACCTAGGCCTGTATAATGTAGAACATGAATGGGACAAACTGCGTTGGCCTGTATAATGTAGAACATGTATGGGACGCTCTACTTAGGCTTGTATTCTGTAGAACATGAATGGGACACACTGCGTTGGCCTGTATAATGTAGAACATGTATGGGACACTCTACTTAGGCTTGTATTCTGTAGAACATGAATGGGACACACTGCGTTGGCCTGTATAATGTAGAACATGTATGGGACACACTACCTGGGCCTGTATAATGTAGAACATGTATGGGACACTCTACCTAGGCTTGTATACTGTAGAACATGTATGGGACACTCTACTTAGGCTTGTATTCTGTAGAACACATGTATGGGACACACTACCTAGGCCTGTATAATGTAAAACATGTATGGGACACACTACATAGGCCTGTATAATGTAGAACATGAATGGGACACACTGCGTTGCCCTGTATAATGTAGAACATGTATGGGACACACTACCTCGGCCTGTATAATGTAGAACATGTATGGGACCCTCTACCTAGGCCTGTATACTGTAGAACATTTATGGGACACTCTACTTAGGCTTGTATTCTGTAGAACACATGTATGGGACACACTACCTAGGCCTGTATACTGCAGAACATGTATGGGACACTCTACCTAGGCTTGTATACTGAAGAACATGTATGGGACACTCTACTTAGGCTTGGATACTGTAGAACATGTATGGGACACTCTACTTAGGCTTGTATTCTGTAGAACATGAATGGGACCCACTGCGTTGGCCTGTATAATGTAGAACATGTATCCTAGGCCTGTATAATGTAGAACATGTATGGTACACTCTACCTAGGCCTGTATAATGTAGAACATTATGGGACACACTACCTAGGCCTGTATAATGTAGAACATGAATGGGACACTCTACCTATGCCTGTATACTGTATAGCATGTATGGGACACTCTACCTAGGCCTGTATACTGTATAACATGTATGGGACACTCTACCTAGGCCTGTATAATGTAGAACATTATGGGACACACTATCTAGGCCTGTAAAATGTAGAACATGAATTGGACACACTGCCTAGGCCTGTATACTGTAGAACATGTATGGGACACTCTACCTAGGCCTGTATAATGTAAAACATGTATGGGACACTCTACCTATGCCTTTATACTGTATAGCATGTATGGGACACTCTAACTAGGCCTGTATACTGTATAGCATGTATGGCACACTCTACCTAGGCCTTTATACTGTAGAACATGTATGGGACACACTACCTATGCCTGTATACCATGGAACATGTATGGAATACACTACCTAGACCTGTATAATACTTTAGAATATGTATGGGACACTCTATGTACATTCCAAGTATAGAATTATCATCAGGAGGTAATACTCACTATTGCTAACAAGGCAGCTAGGACAATCAGGGTGGCCAGGTGTCGCACAATCTGTACCTGCAGCAAAAATACACATATCGTCAATTCAAAAGTAAGACCTCGGCAATATATACGGTATGAAGTTAGCCAGTTTCTTTGTATCTGGTCTGACTGTAGACAGACACCAAAGAGTCAAAGTACTACTCCTTCTGCCATACTTGTGAAATATATATGGTATTCAAAGGAAACCATTGAATTTACTATTTTTTCCATGTTTATGATATGTAACAGGTAAAAATGTAATTTAACACTGAAGTGTCTGTACTGTTGTACGGTACAACACTCTAGTGTCTTTGGGCCAGGCGAGAAAAATGTTGGTGCCAGCTGATCAAACTAAAGGACGGAAAACTGATACTGTTATACTGTGTAAGCTTAGAAGTTCTATGAACCAGATGAGTTAAAAATCTCAGATGTTTTGCATAAGAGTTAATTTCTTACAAAGAAAAAATGTCTTAATATGAAAGTTGTTCACATATAAATTCAAAATAAGTCTTACATGAAAAACATGAGGTCCATTGGACCTGTATTGCTCACCTGCATTAGAACATCTTTATATGAAATTTCCTCAAAACCAGACAAGATCTATGTTCTAACCAAACTGGGACCACAATATCTGGACTTTCAACTAATCAGGGGCCTCCATTGGTTGCCATGTTAACAGATTTTGCAATAAGTAATATGTCATATTACAGGGTGTAATTAGACAATACTTTAATTTTCATTCAAGTATAAGCTTTTATAAACCTAGAAACTAATTTTTAACAATTTATGAAAACTACACCATATAATATGATAATCTAGCTGTACAATTTCTAATGAACGCAGGGGTCACATCAACCTCATTCAATTAAGAAATTTTTGTTCTCCCTCAATAATGTTTTTTGACCAAATTTTGTACAATCCACTCCGGCAATTAGGGGGTATTAGCGTCTTAAAGCAAAATATTAAATAATTTTCCTCTTTGGGGCCTGGTCTTCCTAGCCCCAGGGGTCGAACCAATCTCATTTATTTGGGAAATGATTGCCATCCCCTAGTGATGTGACAGACTAAATTTGGTTGAAATCCTCTCTTGCATTTAGCAGGTGATGCGTTTTAAAACAAATTTAGCTAAGTTCCCCTTCAGGGCCCCGCCCCCCTGGCCTCAGGGGTCGATCCAACATAATTTATTTAAGAAATGATTGCCCTCCACTAGTGATGCTTCAGACTTAATTTGGTTGAAATCCTCACTGGCGTTAAGTAGGAGATGCGTTTTAAAGCAAATTTAGCTACGTTCCCCTTCAGGGCCCCGCTCCCCTGGCCTCAGGGGTCGAACCAACCTCAGTTATTTAAGAAATGATTGCCTTCCACTAGTGACTAAATTTGGTTGAAATCCTCTTTGGCATTTAGGAGGAGATAGGTTTTAAAGAAAAAGTTGACGACGGACGGCGACGCTACATCAGAATTAATGCCCCACATTAAAGTTCAAGTGCCCCTTTCTACCTTTTTGCGTGAGACTGAGAGCCAGACATAGGTTACGTTAAGTGTGGAGCGGCCTTACATGGAGTCGGGGCTGTAATTATTACATCTGATCAGTATTGCCTCGAGTCAGAACAATCTAAATATGGAAATGCAGCACCTCCTCTCATCAGGCAAGCACACACATCGGCATATAATAGATACTTGCTACATAGCCTCTGCTTCTGATCCTGCTCAAGCCTCACTTCTTTCGTAATATAATTGTTCATACTTATCACTCCCACACACAGGTCTTGTAAGCAAGCAAATGTCCCACAATGCTTGAAATGAGATATCACTGTCTGGCAAAATAAATAATCTTCTTAACAGCAAACAAACACCAGACAGTGAAACCGATATAATGCCTCAGTTTGTAATACAAGTGTTTAGCATCTGTCTGATAGGAGTAAGTTAATAGTTAACCAATCACTTGTTGATGTTTTCTTCTTCTCCTGTCTGAGGAGTGATCCCCTCACTTGAACCCTACACTTGTACAGATATCTAGTCTCCTGCCTGAGGAGTGAACCCCTACACTTGTACAGATGTCTAGTCTCCTGTCTGAGGAGTGAACCCCCTACACTTGTCCAGATGTCTAGTCTCCTGTCTGAGGAGTGAAACCCTACACTTGTACATATATCTAGTCTCCTGTCTGAGGAGTGAACCAATCACTTGTACAGATTTCTAGTCTCCTGTCTGAGGAGTGAATCCCTATACTTGTACAGATTTCTAGTCTCCTGTCTGAGGAGTGAACCTCTCACTTGTCCAGATTTCTAGTCTCCTGTCTGAGGAGTGAACCCCTACNTCTAGTCTCCTGTCTGAGGAGTGAACCCCTACACTTGTACAGATATCTAGTTCCATGTCTGAGGAGTGAACCAATCACTTGTACAGATATCTAGTTCCCTGTCTGAGGAGTGAACCAATCACTTGTTCAGATTTCTAGTCTCCTGTCTGAGGAGTGAACCCCTACACTTGTACAAATATCTAGTCTTCTGTCTGAGGAGTGAACCCCTCACTTGTACAGATATCTAGTCTCCTGTCTGAGTAGCGAACCCCTACACTTGTGCATATATCTAGTCTACTGTCTGAGGAGTGAACCCCTACACTTGTACAGATATCTAGTCCCCTGTCTGAGGAGTGAACCCCTATACTTGTACATATATCTAGTCTCCTGTCTGAGGAGTGAACCACTACACTTGTACAGATATCTAGTTCCATGTCTGAGGAGTGAACCAATCACTTGTTCAGATTTCTAATCTCCTGTCTGAGGAGTGAACCCCTTTACTTGTACAGATATCTAGTCTACTGTCTGAGGCTTTAACCCCTACACTTGAACAGATATCTAGGCTCCTGTCTGAGGAGTGAACCTCTACACTTGTACAGATATCTAGTCCCCTGTCTGAGGAGTTAACCCCTACACTTGTACAGATGTCAAGTCTCCTGTCCGAGGAGTGAACCCCTACACTTGTACAGATATCTAGTTCCATGTCTGAGGAGTGAACCAATCACTTGTACAGATTTCTAGTCTCCTGTCTGAGGAGTGAACCCCTCACTTGTAAAGATATCTAGTCTCCTGTCTGAGGAGTGAACCAATCACTTGTTCAGATTTCTAGTCTCCTGCCTGAGGAGTGAACCCCTACACTTGTACAGATGATATCTAGTCACCTGTCTGATTAGTTAACCCCTACACTTGAACAGATATCTAGTCTCCTGTCTGATTAGTGAACCCCTACACTTGAACAGATATCTAGGCTCCTGTCTGAGGAGTGAACCTCTACACTTGTACAGATATCTAGTCTTCTGTCTTACACTTGTACATATATCTAGTCTCCAGTCTGAGGAGTGAACCCCTACACTTGTACAGATATCTAGTCACCTGTCTGATTAGTGAACCCCTACACTTGAACAGATATCTAGTCTCCTGTCTGAGGAGTGAACCTCTCACTTGTCTAGTCTCATGTCTGAGGAGTGAACTCCTACACTTGTACAGGTGTCTAGTCTCCTGTCTGAGGAGTGAACCACTACACTTGTACAGATATCTAGTCTACTGTCTGAGTAGTGAACCCCTCACTTGAACAGATATCTAGTCTCCTGTCTGAGGAGTGAACCTCTACACTTGTACAGATGTCTAATCTCCTGTCTGAGGAGTGAACCCCTACACTTGTACAGATATCTAGTATTCTGTCTGAGGAGTGAACCCCTTTACTTGAACAGATATCTAGTCTCCTGTCTGAGGAGTGAACCCCTACACTTGTACAGATATCTAGTCTCCTGTCTGAGGAGACTAGATATCTGTTCAAGTGAAGGGGTTCACTCCTCAGACAGAATACTAGATATCTGTCTGAGGAGTGAACCCCTACAATTGTACTTATATCAAGTCTACTGTCTGAGGAGTGAACTAGTCTCCTGTCTGAGGAGTGAACCCCTACACTTGTACTTATATCAAGTCTACTGTCTGAGGAGTGAACCTCTCACTTGTCTAGTCTCCTGTCTGAGGAGTGAACCACTACACTTGTACAGATATCTAGTCTACTGTCTGAGGAGTGAACCCCTACACTTGTACAGATGTCTAGTCTCCTGTCTGAGGAGTGAACCTCTCACTTGTCTAGTCTCGGGTCTGAGGAGTGAACTCCTACACTTGTACAGGTGTCTAGTCTCCTGTCTGAGGAGTGAACCACTACCCTTGTACAGATATCTAGTCTACTGTCTGAGTAGTGAACCCCTCACTTGTACATATATCTAGTCTCCTGTCTGAGGAGTGAACACCTCACTTGAACCCTACACTTGTACAGATATCTAGTCTTCTGTCTGAGGAGTGAACCCCTACACTTGTACAGATGTCTATTCTCCTGTCTGAGGAGTGAACCCCTACACTTGTACATATATCTAGTCTACTGTCTGAGGAGTGAACCTCTCACTTGTCTAGTCTCAGGTCTGAGGAGTGAACTCCTACACTTGTACAGGTGTCTAGTCTCCTGTCTGAGTAGTGAACCCCTCACTTGTACATATATCTAGTCTCC